GCGTTGGGGGCGGCGCGGGCGGCGACGCCGGAGCGGGCCGCGATTTGGGCGCAGGGGTTGGGCAGGGCGCCGCCGGCGGCGGCGGCGTCGTCGGCCGCGACGGCAGGGGTTGGGTCGGCAGAGGAGGATGCGGCCGACGCATCAGTCATCGTCGACGTCGCGGGCCCCGCGGCCGGCGACGCCGCGGGCGCGGCGGGCCCAGGGCCTGTGCTGTGCCGTCCGTCCCTGTTCACGCACCGCCCAGAGTGGGAGACCGCGCGCACGGTGGGTCCTTCGGGGCCTTGTGTTTCGGACACGGGGTCGGTGGCTGGTTTTGGACTCGGATCAAAAGGGAGAGAGCCACCCGACGATGATGTTGCTTGGCGCCCCCCCTGCACATGGAGGTGCCGCAAGCCTCCGCCGCCGCTGTGGACAGAAGGCCCCTCGTTTGTTTGGCATCGCGGTCCGCCTTCGCCGGCAGCCCCCCCTCCTCCCCCCTGCAACACCCCCTGGCCCTAGTCCGACTGGAAGTGGGGCGGCACTGCGCACGCCTCCACCCTCCTCCCGACCGATCGCCCCGCCGCACCTAAACCTCGGAAACTCCGAAACCCTCCCAAGGTCCTGCGGGGGGAGATGGAGGGAGCGATGGCGGGCTACTGGCGCGGCGTGGTGTCGGCGAAAAAGGAGGCCCCGTTCAGGGTGGCACGCGCCAGGGAGGGTGAGCGCTTGCCCGCGCCGCGGCCACTTGCATGCCGCCGCCGCTGCCGCCGCTTGTCCATTCGCTCCCGCGGCCCCTCACGCAATCCCTGGCGGGCTTGTCATCACTGTGGCGGACTCCTGGCCCACGCGGTGCGTGTGAACAGCTTATTAGCCTTTGCTGCCTCACTCCCACAGCCTGGCTCCGCTGCCCATGAGAGTCTCGGTAATCCCCGGGCCCTTTGCTGCCCCGATTACGTCATTGGTGCTCTCAGCCTCACGCAGCCATCCACCTGACCACCCACACACCCGCGTGTGTACCAATTGTATCGCGACCAATTCCATCACAATCATCAGTCATGTCATTGATGTTCCTTTGGACCTGCTGCAACAGCCTGGTGGAAGCTACCGAGCAGCTGGAGACGGCCGCGGCCCGCATCCTTGACCCCGCGGCGGCCGTCGCGCACGTGGGGGAGGCGGCGGGCGGCGCCGCGGCAGCGGGCGGCGCGGCAGCGGGCGGCGGGCGGCGGCGGCGGGCGTGGCTGGACGGGCGCGGCAGCTTCATGCGACCGCTGCTGCATCTGATGGTGATGCGGCCCACATGGCATCATTTGAAGACGGCGGCGGTCGACCACATCCCCGCGGCGCTGAAGAGCCGGGAGGGTGCGCGGGGCGGCGCGTCGCGCGCCTCGCCGCAAACGGCTGGGGTTTGCGGGGCGCCGCAGGGGATGTTGAGGGTCCGCCCGCCAGCTTTGAATGGGAGATCGGGACCCTGGAGAGGGGGCTGGCATGCGTGTAACCTGCACTGCTGTGGATCCCTCTGACTGAGCCACACTGCACGCACCCTCTTTTGAACGTCACTCATTTTCAACAACGCTGGCACCGCTTGAAACCGCGACTGCGCGCAGCCCTGTCTGCAGCGCTGTCGGACCGCACCTTCCAGGCAGCTGCCAAGTTCTTCTTCGCCACGTCGACCGTGCTGCTGCTCACCCTCGCCCTGTCTGCGGCGGAGCCGTCTGTGCGGTACGCGCAGCCGATCTTTGGCTTCGTGGCGACGTGCGTGGCAGTGCAGGAGCGCGTGGAGGCCACCGCTGACAAGGCAAGCCGCGGCCGAGGGACAACCTGATCCGATGTGAACTGATCTGTTCTGGTCTGATGCGATGTGATTTTATCAGGGGCTATTTGGGCAGTCGTTGAGACACGTGTCGCTGCGCGTTGGGGTTGGGCTCGGGCAGTTGCGTGACCAAGGCCATGTATTTCAGCCACTCAGCCACCTGCTATCATCTTTTTATCCACGCGCCCACCAAACCATCACCTGCCATGTGTGGGCGAGGCGTTCTCACTCCTCCTGTCCTCATGTGTGTGAGCTTTGACCCATGCCCGACCGCGCCGCCGTCGCCGTGTCACCCCACGCGCGTCACCAGGTGACCCTCCGCATCATCGGCACCGTCGTCGGCGCCTCCCTCGGCGAAGCCGTCATGTCGTCCCACGCCCTGGCCAACAGCCCCGCGTTCCTTGCCGCCTGCATCGCCGCCGTCGCCGCGCTGTTCGGGTCCATCGCCATGGGTCCCGTGCGCGTCGGTGCCAGCCTGGCGCTGTTCACGTTCACGTCTGTCGTGCTCTGCCAGTACCGCGGCTGCTGCGGCGCAACGACAGCGAGCACCGCCTACTTTTTGACCCGCATGGCCTCGGTGAGGGATGACGTCTGAGTGACGTCATCGATGGTATTACTGCATGTGCACATCAGGGGTTGTAGGCATGCTGGCTTCTTTGCCTTGAAGGCGTTCCACGAGCACACGTCCGGCTGCCGAGAACCAGGGTTGAGCTGATCGCCTGTGACTCCCCACCCCCCCCCCTCAAAATCCCCAAGGCCAGCGCCGCTGCATAACGTCATGCTGACACCACACCTCCACGCCTCGCCCCCCTTCCCCTCAGGTCGTCGCGGGCTGCGTGTGGGCGGCCCTGGTGTCAAACCTCCTGCTGCCCAGCTACACCAGCGACTGGGCCATAGGTGAGTTGAGGCCCTCGTTTAGTGTATCTTTATGGAGCGCACACATCTATACATGTTATGTACAAGATCTGAAACGTCATGAGGGCAGCACCCGCCCCCCAAAAGGACCGCCTGGGAAGCTACTGCTGCTGCGGCTTGGCGACTCTGCGCTCCACTCCACTTGCTGCAGGAAGCAGCTTGATCATCCCGCCGGCCCCCACCCCTCCTCTCAGCCCACCTCACCCCATTCGTTTGCGTGAGCGTCGCCCGCCTCACATGCGCGTGACACCGACCCCGGCCGTTCCGTGGCGCATGACCCACACCCCAGCCGCCTGCCCTGGCTTCCCCATCGCACTCGTGCCGCAGATCAGCTGGCGACCTGCCTGGAGAGGTCTGCGGTCCTGATCTCAGATCTCTACAACCACCAGTTCCGCGCCATGCGCGCCGCCGCCGCGCGCTCGGGCCTGATCTGCGACGCCGACACCGCCGCCGCGGCCTCCGCCGCCGCCGCCGCGGCCGCCGCCTTCGGCCCCGCCCCGGCGCCGGCCGGGAAGGATGCGGTTGGCGCTGCAGGGGCGGCGGCGGAAGCGCAGCAGTCGCTTGAGGCGACAGAGTTGGCGCTGGCGGCGCGGCTGCGCCCGGAGGTCGTGGCGCCGCTGCTGGCGGTGCAGGCGGCGCTTGAGAAGGAGAGCGTGTCGTGGCGGCGAGGGCCGCTGGCGACGCCGAAGGTCGCGCGCGACGTGCTGGCGGGGCTGCGGGTGCGTGTCTGTGCCCTGTGGCCGAGCGCACGCACGCGCGTCTTGCCTTCTGCTTTGCGTGCGCCGGCCGGCCGGGTGCAAGTGTTTGCAGCTGCTGCAGGAGCTGCTCGGTGCTTGCTCGCTGTTTTGCGTCCGATGAAGGTCCCTCGCATGCCGGCACTCGCGCGCCACCCCACCGCACCTGCGTCTCTTCCGCGAGCGCGCCGTCTGCTGCCCGCCCGGCTGTGGAACAAAGAGGGAGCCCCACCACCCAAAGCAACACCCCACGCTCAGGCACACAGACACATGCACACATACATGCAAACAAAATACACGCACACATACATACACACATACTCTCACCTCAACAACCCCAGGTGCTGGCCCATGCGATCGTGGCCCAGCGCATCACCCTGTCACCCGCGCCCACCATGGCCCCCTCGTCACTCACCGGCCACGGCTACTTCTTCATGGGGCCCCTCCACGACACCTGGGTGGCCGTCGTCGCCTCAGTGCAGGCGCTCGCGGCGGCGGCCGCCGCGCAGCTGCGGCGGCCGACGGACGCGGGCGGCGCGGCGCTCGCGGCGGAGGTGCGGGGGCGGGGGCCCGTGGGCTGGAGTGTGCCCGTTTTGAAATCCGCGGGGTCTGCTCTAGGACCTTTTCCAATAGAGATCCAATAATTCACACACGCACAGGCACTCTTTGCGTGTGTACACACATGACATCACATCACATCACGCTTTGCCAGCAGCGAGGCGACAACCCTGGATCCCCTTGAGGTGTATCATCTCTCAGACACATGCACACAATTGTCTACCAAGTTTCACATGAAATCATGCACGCACGGCCCTCCCAGATCGAGCGGTTAGAGCAGCTGCGCATGCAGCTTCGCGGCGCCTTCCTCGCCGTCCGCCGCGCCCGCCACTCCTCTGTCCGCCAGCTCTCCCGCCGCTTTGCCTCCTTCGGCCGCTCCTTCGGCGACCTCCCCGCCGTCGCCGCCGCCGCAGAGTCCGCAGCGGCGGCAGCGGCGGCGGCCGGGGGCGGGGCGGAGGGGGCGGCGGCGGCGGCGCGGGCGGCGGAGGGCGTTGATGGGGGGCTGCGGCTTGAGGTGTCTGATCTACCTGGGGTTCAGGACAGCGTCCAGTACTTTGCCTGGCAGGTTGGATTTATTCACTTTTTTATCCCTGGGTTTAGGGGATCCAGGGTCTTCACCTGGGGTGGATAGCCGGGCCCAACCAGGGAGTAGCGCTGCGCCCGCCCGCCGGCTTGCCCGTGGCGGGGCGCCCCCCAGCTGCTGGCGCGTGGTCCAGGTTCGCGAGCCGCCCTGATTTGCCGATCCCTCCACCCTTGGGGCAAACGGCGACGCCGGCGGCAGAAACCTTGACTCCCTTCCCGCTCCTGCGCCCGCAGTTTGCGGCCAGCCGCTGCCTAAACGAAATCACGGCTGTCGCCCGCCTGGTGCTGTGGGCGTCTGAGAAGCGCCGCCGCCGCGCCGCCGCCGCCGCAGCCCGCGGCGGGCGCCTTGCGCGGTGGGCGGGCGGCGCGCGGGAGCTGGCGGGGCGCGTGCTGGCGTCGCTTTGAGGGGACGACACGCGGCAAGAGTTGGACTTGCGGTGCGAAGGGTTCAAATTCGGGGCTTTGGGTTACAACGGTTGTGGGGCCAGCGCAGAAGTTTGTTATGTGCCTACGGGTGGCTTCGGCTCTTCCTCATTTGCTTCAAGCTTACTTCAATCTGTCACATCGTCATTTCACTTACGTGACGCTGTGAGGGTGGCGAACGAGTCGGCGGCGCAATGGTACAACTTGCCTGAGCGATGTATGTTGTGCGATGTTGAGGAGCGTCGCTGCCTGTGCAGCTCTGCAAACAGCGCAAGCAGACAGGCGTGCATCAGCAAAGCAGACCGACGCCGCCTTTTGAGGGCTGGCTTGCAGTTCCAAGATATGCGCTCCCATGCACTTCAATCAGGCGTTTCGGCTGCTCGCACAGTTGGGTTAGTTGCCCTGCTGCGGCTTCTCCGCCCCACCCAGCCCAGGCTCATCCTCAAGCCTGTCTGGCTGCCAATGCTTGAATTTGCCCGGGTTCGAACCTGTGTCCTCCGCTCTGAGAGAACATGCAGGCCCATCACGGCTGGAGCACCAAATGTAACGTGACAAGCCCAACACGTGTTACTAGCGTGCTTGGGGAGGGCTCTACGGTCCTCTGTACCCATGATATTC